AATTAGGCCTTACAGAACGACTAATGGATCCAAAGAAAATCTTGACGATCGGACGGAATGCTCTCCTGATAAGCTGCTTTTGTGCGAGTTTGAGTTTGAATTGGTTTCGGCGCTGTTTCGCGTCCGCGATTCTCACAATGTGAGCAGGATCCTGGCAATCCTGGTTCGCCTTTGGGTCCTTGAGGTCCTGGAAGTCCTGGGTTTCCAGCATCGCCTCGAGTTCCAACTGCACCGCGAATTCCCTGGTTACCGGGCAATCCTGGCTTGCCGTCATGACCTTTGCTTCCGGGGGGCCCGCGGGGTCCAACCTGAACTAGCATGCATAGGATTCTCATCATTTATTTTTATATGCGGCATACCTTTCCAGAAGGGCCTGGAGGACCAGGAGGCGCTCCATTGAGTACTTTTCCTCTATCTCCAGTTGGTCCCTTATCGCCAGGTGGACCAGGTTCTCCGCGAATTCCAGGTGGACCTGGAGGGCCTGGCCTATTGTCTTCTCCGGGCCTTCCGGGTGTTCCAGCTTTTCCTATCTCTCCGCGCGGACCTGAAAGAGAAGACATTCCAATACAATGCTTGTCTTGTCAATATCAGTCTCTAAATGATCCGAAACCTTTAGGGCCAGGAAGTCCAGGCGGTCCAGGTGGTCCCGGAGGACATTTCTGACAAGCGTTTGTGCCCGGTGGAGGTGCTGGCAGATACTTTCCGTTGCGCCCATTGAGTCCCTGTCGGCCAGGGAATCCATCGTTTCCTACAGCAAAACTCTAGTGATGAAACTACAATAATCGTTCACTATAGCTGAACTCACCAGGCACTCCATCCTCCCCAGGTGGGCCACGAGGGCCAGGAGGTCCTTGGGTGCATGCACAACATGCCCCAGCTGGAATTGCACCATAGTTACCGTATGGAGTTTGACGCTTTGTTAGTACGTTTCCCGGTTTTGTAAACGACATCTGTTTCCAGATATCTCGCGATTCTCCCTAAAAAACTTCTGATTACCTTTTTATTAGTGTAAAAAATGTTTTTTGTTACCTTACACATCTCTACTTCATTCAGCATGTTTGAAGTTATTCTTTGGATATGCATATGCATTATCGGTAGGCCAATAATTAATATTATCATCGAAACAGTAGACAAAACCGTGGCTGTGAATGTCGCCTGACGCGAGCAAGGAACCCAGTCCATTTTGGATCCTGAAAGACTTCTCTACTATCAGATTTAAAGGATATGAAAATGATGAAGTTCATGGATGCAAGAAGACAGAATGGAGCTGAGCGAACTACTGCGAACGGGGCGGTGCACCACGCATGACCTCAGCGTTTTCACGAACTGGGTAACTTTTCCATTTCGCAAAAATTAGGTCACATGCGCGCTCGATACATTATCGCTCGTATTTTAGTGCGACAGGATACATTACTTTAAGGTTCTGGTAAAAGTACTTGCTTGCCAGCGTTGGTCAGATATATTAGGTTGTCGGATAAGTTCGCGCTGTTATTTTAACTCAACAAAAAAA